TATATATAAAATGGTCAAGTGGTGTAATTAAATATTTACTGTTGAAATTTGGGGGTCTGTAAGATTTTTATTTTATTTTATTTTATATTTTATAGAGAGAAGTCTCTTATGCTTACCAAGGCTGCATTTATTTTATACAAAATACAGTACAGCAATATTGTTAAATGTTATTAAATATTATTATTAAAATAACTAAAGTTTAATCTTTTAATAATCCTTTAAAATGTCATTTATTTCTGTTATGCAAAGCTGAATATTTTAGCAGCCATTACTCCAGTCTGCAATGTCACATGATCCTTCAGAAATTATTAAAAACAGTTGTGCTGCTAATTATTTTTGTGGAAACAGTGGTCGAATTATTTTCATAATTATTTGATGAATAGAAACAGAACAGCTTTTATTTGAAATGTACAAGATATTTATAATTTTACAAAGGCTTTCTGTCATTTGATCAATTTGATGCATCCTTACTGAATAAAATTGACACCAAATTTTAATGATTGATTGATTTGCTTTTTATTTACTTACTGTCATAGGGTTTGTTTATAATAAAAAAATGGTGAAGTGTTGTAATGAGATGTTTTAACAGTTCAGAGAGTTAAATATAGAGTTGCACATATAGAGTTAAATTTGACTTAAACTTTGAATTTTGCAATGCATCATTTAACCTCTCAGGAATGCTCTCTTTTGTATCTGTTTTGTGTTTTGCTCCACAGAATTCATAGGAAACATGAGTTTTGTGAAAGGCCCTCAAGTCCTTTTTGGTCTAGTTATTTTTCTCCTGATGTGTGTGCTTGAATACAAGTTATTTGATGTGCACCTGAACACCTGGTTCCTTGTTGTGGTGTTCGTATGATTGTTTTGATTCGTACCTCTGAGCGAAACCATCCAGACACTGCAGTCCTTGCGAAAGGTAGTAGTATCCTGATTCCCTCATGAATATGTTATGTTATGGATGTTTGGAATGTCTTTGGTTGAATTAAAAAAAAACAAAGCTGGGTTAATATTAAATCAAAATGTAGTAAATTTTTTCCACCTCAGTCAGAATCAGTAGTTTATAGGAAATACATATATTTACTATATTTTTTATGAACCTCTAGAATTAACTTTTATATTTTCAGCTTTCATTTTTTAAATTAATTTTATGTTGTTTTGTCATTGTATTCGTTTTTATTAAAGTACTATTTAGATTTAATAAAATTTTTGTTTTGGTTTATATATTTTTTTTATATGATATTAATATTTTCATTGATTTCATCTTTATTTCAAGCAACAAAAATGTTTTTATTTTTTATAGTTTTATTTTTACAGAAGCTAACAATAATAAGCATCAACTTCTCTAACCAACATCTCTCCTGCTGACCTGATGAATAAAATTAAGTCCCAAAGATCATCATTTCTTTCTGAATATTCAGTTTCACACGTAGATAATGTGTAAAGTTTCATGTTTTTAATCTACAATTTTTACACTTTTTTCTCTAGATTTATTACATTTAAAAGACCACAACAAAGGAAACAAACCTTAGATGCCAAAATTAGGATTAAATGTCTTTTGTTATTATAAATTCTGATTCTGCATGAAATTAATGAAAAACAAACAGTTCATATTGTGGGATTGTAGACTAAAGCCCTGTTTGGATGGCACTAGTTTTCCCTCAGGAGGCCAGGTGCATGTGTGTTATACAGAATTTGTATTTGTATTTGTATTTTTTTTAATGCCATCCGAATCTGTTTGTTCACTCAGGCATCCTCCGAGAAATCAATCTTTGATCATAGTATATATTTACCCTTCTCCTAATTTGTTTTGACCTTTGTTGGAAACCAATGAATCTACTTTTAGATTTTGACTTTTGTCTTTATAGATTTGAACCAATTTCCTGGATAAAATAATGGTTTGTGATTCAAGTGAGTCAAGTGAGTAGTAGCGGCATCAGGTATGATCTATATAATAAGTTACATAAGTCTTGTTTATTTCAGTGGGGTTCATGATGCTCACGTCAGACTCTTGTGCTTTGAATGGGAGATGCAAAAGTCAAATCAAAGACATACCGTCATTGCAGCGGATGTTGAGCTGGTTTATCTGTTCGGTAAACTCGTTCTCCTCTATCGTCTCTGTTCGTGGCACAGAAAGTGAGAAACGCCTCTTGAAGTTCTTCATCTTATTCATGTCGCTGGACCAGAAGTCCTGTGGAGGATGCAAGAACAGTGTGAGTTAATGTGTTGATTATTTTATTTGAGAAGATGACATTTGTTTTGTTGTGCTCTCTGCATGAAAGCTGTCGTGATCTTATTGGGCTCTCTTGTGTTTTTGTCTTAAAATCTAGCTGAAGAATCTGCGATTGAATGTTTACAACTTTTTAGAGAGATTTGCCTTTGTTCTGGCATCGCTTGCTGTTTTACGCTCTGTCAGAGCGCCAAGTTTGGTGTTGTGTACACAAAAACTCGTATATATCAAGTCTGCAATTAAAAGTCAGAGATTTCAGTAATGCACTCAAATGTTTCTCATTAAATACCTCCAAGGAGAAATGATCTGAGCTGTTATCTGCATTCATTTTGTAGCTCTATACTCTTCATTAAGGTCAGCTATTGAATCATTGTGTCAGTTTTTTTTCTCCCCAAGGGAATTTTTGGAGAACAATCTGAGACTTTGATTCATGAGCTATAAAAGAGCAACCTCTGAGCAATATGTTTTTCTTGGGGTAAATCTATCAAAACCGATGTGTTCATATCTTTCCAACTAGGGGTGTGCGATATTGACATAATAATTTCTCTGTATTTGGGGGGATTTTGTCAATAATAATAATTAAACAATATTTTTCTGAGTGTGTTTTTGTGCTGGTGCTTTGGCTGGTTTAGACCCATCATGGATAAAAAAATATATAGGCTATAACATTAAAACCGCCGGTAGGTGGCAGCAAGTCCCTGTCTAAATGAGTGATTCATTGAATCATTCATTCAAACGATTTGTTCAAAATGACCGATTCATTTAGAAACGAATCAAGTGACTGTCTTTATGAATGGATCATTGAATCACTGACTCATGATTCATTCAAAAACGGATTCATTCAGGAACAAAACAATGCAGTGTTGCTCTGAGATGCACAAACGTTCTGATCAGACTTTGGAACTATTAAAAAAAACAATATTGTGTCTATAATGCAACTCATTCAATATTCTTGTTAATTGGAGAAAGGGTTAAAATTAAGATCATTTTGGTGTAAGATGACTTTACTAATAAAGCGTATGGAAAAATGTACCATAATACACTTGAAAAGTGTACATTACGTTCCTTATAAGCGATAAAGTGGTTGCTGTATGCATATGGACTAACACTCTGTTTAAGAGACAGAATTAATAGATGTCTAATGATATTCAATTTCTCCACAGCCGAAGTTCAACTCTGTCTCACTGGAGCTTATCAGAATCTCCTGTATTCTCTTCCTTTCCGCTCCTACGTTACCAGGCAGAGCGGTTGCTAAGGATTCCAGCGCTGTTCGTTTAATTCCGGGTGTGAGATTGTGCTGTGTGGTTTACTAATTATTTTGAAAGTGGGAGACTAGCCAATACTCCCATTGCCAATTAGCGTCAGCTACCCCTAAAATAACTGCATTTTAGAGCACCATTGGTTCTCAAATGACTCTGAAACAGAAATGCAAAATAATAAAATAAATACTAATAGTGCTAAAAAAAAGTTCCCTTGTCAGCTGTGGTGGTGTTTCTCCATCCTCTCAAACTTGTTCTCTGCCTCGCTTTCTCTTCCTCTCTTTGATTATAGTGGTTGTTTTTGCTGAGGATAATGATTTAGTCTTCCTGTCTTTGAAACATGACTCTCATAAGACAATAATTGCTCCATGCAGTACCATCATAGGGCTGATGAAACGCAGACCAGTGTCTGTCTGAATAATCTCATCATCTACATCATATCAGAATCAGAATCAGAATCAGAATGAGTTTTTATTGCCAGGTATGTTTACACATACGAGGATTATAATATTTATTAATATTATAAATGAATATTTATGGGATATTACTGGTTCTAGCATGAAACAATGTTTGTCACAAACTCTTTTTGGGTTTTTCAACAATCTTTTAAATTTGATATAAATCAATTTCAATTTTAGTTTGTTTACATTTGTATTTATATATTTGCAATAAATGTATATATTAACATTATATATATATATATATATATATATATACATATATACAGTGGGGCAAATAAGTATTTCTAAATTTCCATCAGCCATTACTCCAGTATAAAGTGTCACATGTTCCTTCAGAAATCATTCTAATATGCTGATTTATTTTTAGAATTATAAATGTTGGCAACAGTTACAGCGCGCTGATTCGCTAAAATGGACTTATCGGCTTCTGTTCAAAAACAACAAGGGCACTTGTCGGCTTCTGCAGTGAAATGTGAACTCGCGATGCCTTGAAAGTGGACAAAACCGGCTTTTTTGACAAAACGTGTTAGGATTCAGATCGCGCTATATGTGGAGAATTAAAAGTGGCGTTTATCGGTTTTTGCAAATGAACTCTTCATATGATTTTTGCAAATGAACTCTTCATATGATCATACACCCTGATGAAGGCCTGTTTGGGCTGATACGCGTTGGTTTTTTTTAACATGTAGCCCTGCCTTACAGTAAAGGCTTTTTATATTTTGCCTGCTATGTGAGTGCCTGGACGTGGATTATTTTTGTTTCTTGCAATGGGATCCACTTTTTGTTTTTGACATTTTGTTCCTTCTCTGGAACATCCATAGTCTCGCTCGTGAGTAGCCTACCTGATGCGCCCCTGGTCAAGACTTTTTTCTTTTATATACAGTGTGTACGGAAAGTATTTAGACCCCCTTAAATTTTTCACTCTTTGTTATATTGCAGCCATTTGCTAAAATCATTTAAGTTAAATTTTTTTCCTCATTAATGTACACACAGCACCCCATATTGACAGAAAAACACAGAATTGTTGACATTTTTGCAGATTTATTAAAAAAGAAAAACTGAAATATCACATGGTCCTAAGTATTCAGACCCTTTGCTCAGTATTTAGTAGAAGCACCCTTTTGATCTAATACAGCCATGAGTCTTTTTGGGAAAGATGCAACAAGTTTTTCACACCTGGATTTGGGGATCTTCTGCCATTCCTCCTTGCAGATCCTCTCCAGTTCTGTCAGGTTGGATGGTAAACGTTGGTGGACAGCCATTTTTAGGTCTCTCCAGAGATGCTCAATTTTTTAAGTTGAAGTCAGGGCTCTTGCTGGGCCATTCAAGAACAGTCACAGAGTTGTTGTTCAGTATGATTTCGGTACAGCAGGTGGAAAAACTAAACTTTAAAAAAATTAAAATAAACAGTGGTTTACTGAACAAGTTGCTCTTTTTTTAAATACATTCAGTTGTAATTACAATTTTCTTAGTGATAAAAATTTACCTCAGCTTATGCTTTAAATTATAGGGAGCTCTTTTATATTATTAGGTTACAATTAACAACTTAACCCAAACTGAAATTTAATTAAAAAATTTTTTGAAATATAATAATCAACACTCAACTTAAAAAAATTTATGCAAACATGTGAATTGCACATAATGCAGTTTTTAAATTGACTTATAAATTATAAAGTTTCTATTTTAGAAAATATATTCAATTACATAGTGGCTGTCATAACATGTTTCATAACAGATTAATTTAAACATACATTAAATAATTAAGACTAACAGGTAAAGTCAAGTATAAAGCTGTGGACACTGATGACTTGCCTGAGGTAAAGAAATGCTACGTGGTATTTTGTTTACAAGCTGTTTTGCTGATGTCTTTCCACGAGTGAAACACTGACTGATGCCTGTTTCACACATACTCCATTGTTTGCGGTGCTTATTTTTTTCCGCACCCATGGTAATGGATAATAACGTTCACACTGCACACGGTTGTGGCCCGGCAGTGCGTTCCAGGAGCGGTGCTATCGTTTCCGCACCGAGTCTGTTTTTGCTGTGCTGCACACGCTGAATTACGGTTTGTTCGCAGTAAAAATGAACATGGATTGACACGGAAATGTAGTAATTTCACAATAAACCGATATAATTAAAGTCTACTGTGTTTCACATGCTTTTTAGCTAGGTTTAAAACAAAGAAAAGTGCACTTTTAGATAAACAAGGCAGCATATGCACTTAAGGTAGAAAAGCAAAGTTCTTTAAGACACGCGGGACTGTTTGTAATAAAGATTTAAATGTAAAAGGCACGAGAGTTGACCTTTTCTTTCAGTGGTAAGTTTTAATTTAAAATATTTGTGATAGCCTAACACAACAAAAGTAGGCTGTATGCTGTGTTTAAATGTGTTTTCACTTGCTTGAGCAACTTAAATATGATGCGATTTCAAGTTTTCCTTTCTCTTTGGAGTGTTACAAGGTGTTCGTGAATAGATAAGATCCCTAAAGTTGCAAAGACTAAAGTCTCAAACCCAAAGAGTTATTCTTTATAAAAGTTAAGACTCGTTCACGCCATCCTAAAACGCCTCATTTAAACATGCCCCCACATGTCTACATCAATGTGTGGGAAGATTTGCATAATGCCGCCCAAATGTTCACGCGAAGAAAGAAGGTGTAACTTTATTGTTGCTGCCGCCGCTATGACTTGAAGACGCTGTGTGTTTCGTTGCGAAAGCGAAAATACTTTGTTTGGTCTTCCAAACGAGGACACAACTAGAAATCAGTGGTTAAGTTGTATTTACAACACTGTTCCAGAACAGTTCAACCCAAATATTCAGATGTGTGCAGCGCATTTTATGGAGGACTCTTTTCTGAACCTACAATGCTGGCTGTTCTGACTCTCCGCCTGTAAGTACGTTTTCATATTTAAAGAATTTGCCACTGATGATTCAAACACAAGTTTTGAGCAGTGTAGAGTAGCGCTTACAAAGTAGTTGTTTGTCATTTCTCCGATCACAAATGCAGACATGGTTTTATGTTTACGCGGCGCGATGCAATGCAATGTGTAAAAAGACAGTATAAATCATTATAATCTGTAATTATGTCCCCACTGGATGCAACAAATGCCACGTTTATAATGGGTTTTAATGTTTTTGTCTTGTCGCACAGGGACACTGCATCCCAATATGCTAAGCGGCGTAACATTTACGTCACACTGAGGTATTCGGCCAATCACAACGCACTGGATCGCTGGCCAATCAG